TGTTAGAGGGAGTGGGGTATAGTGACACAGTAACAGAGGGATTGAGGGCCCGCTCAGTGAGTTTACATGTTAGAGGGAGTGGGGTATAGTGACACAGTAACAGAGGGATTGGGGGCCTGCTCAGTGAGTTTACATGTTAGAGGGAGTGGGGTATAGTGACACAGTAACAGAGGATTGAGGGCCCTGCTCAGTGAGTTAACATGTTAGAGGGAGTGTGGTATAGTGACACAGTAACAGAGGGATTGAGGGCCCTGCTCAGTGAGTTTACATGTTAGAGGGAGTGGGGTATAGTGACACAGTAACAGAGGGATTGAGGGCCCTGCTTAGTGAGCTTACATGTTAGAGGGAGTGGGGGTATAGTGACACAGTAACAGAGGGATTGAGGGCCTGCTCAGTGAGTTTACATGTTAGAGGGAGTGGGGTATAGTGACACAGTAACAGAGTGATTGAGGGCCCTGCTCAGTGAGTTTACATGCTAGAGGGAGTGGGGTATAGTGACACAGTAACAGAGGGATTAGGGGCCCTGCTCAGTGAGTTTACATGTTAGAGGGAGTGGGGTATGGCTGGTAACAGAGGGATTGAGGCCCTGCTCAGTGAGTTTTACATGTTAGAGGTAGGGTACTTGACACAATAACAGAGGATTAGGGGCCCTGCTCAGTGAGTTTACATGTTGGGAGTGGGGTATAGTGACACAGTAACAGAGGGATTGGGGGCCCTGCTCAGTGAGTTTACATGTTAGAGGGAGTGGGGTATAGTGACACAGTAACAGAGGGATTGAGGGCCTGCTCAGTGAGTTTACATGTTAGAGGGAGTGGGGTATAGTGACACAGTAACAGAGGGATTGAGGGCCTGCTCAGTGAGTTTACATGTTAGAGGGAGTGGGGTATAGTGACACAGTAACAGAGGGATTGAGGGCCTGCTCAGTGAGTTTACATGTTAGAGGGAGTGGGGTATAGTGACACAGTAACAGAGGGATTGAGGGCCCTGCTCAGTGAGTTTACATGTTAGAGGGAGTGGGGTATAGTGACACAGTAACAGAGGGATTGAGGGCCTGCTCAGTGAGTTTACATGTTAGAGGGAGTGGGGTATAGTGACACAGTAACAGAGGGATTGAGGCCCTGCTCAGTGAGGTTACATGTTAGAGGGAGTGGGGTATAGTGACACAGTAACAGAGGGATTGAGGGCCTGCTCAGTGAGTTTACATGTTAGATAGTGACAGTAACAGAGGGATTGAGGGCCCTGCTCAGTGAGTTTACATGTTAGAGGGAGTGGGGTATAGTGACACAGTAACAGAGGGATTGAGGGCCCTGCCCAGCGAGGTTACATGTTAGAGGGAGTGGGGTATAGTGACACAGAAGGTAAGGGTAGGGTTGAAAAGTAGGTTACTAGGATAGTGTTCACTGAGGGCTTAGAGTTTTGATGACCGTTTCAGGAGAGGAATCAGGGTGCGTGGAGAGAAAGCTGTTCATTTTAATTCATATCCTTCCTTAAAGAAGTAAGTTTTTGAAGGAGTGGAGATTGGGTGAAAGTTTAACAGAGGGGAAGGGCATTCCATTGGAACAGTACAGCCGATGAGAAGGCTTTAAGGTATTAAATGTATATAGAAGCACTTTAGTCGCTGTTGTATGGTGGCACCCATGGGGGAATCTCCTCCCTGACAGACTGGAAACCTTCTGAAACCTAAAATTTATCAACTAATGGGTCCGTCCCCTGCACACCCTCTCTGCAGGTAAACAACTTGCTTCCCCAAACTTACCTCAGTTTTTGTCCATCTCACACGAAGGATGAATGGAGGTAATATCGGGAGGATATAGTGAAAGGTTGCTACTTACTGGATGCAAATCTGCATAGACAACCTCTTAATGAATGAAAGATTTGAGCTAAATGCCAAACATATAAAAATAAAATGAAGTTATTATCTAGACCAGGTAAAAAGCCGCGTTATGAAAAGAGTTGGAGAGTTCGGCTCGGCTATTTTGCCGTACAATTCTTGGTTTTATGAATACACACCCAACGTGTTAAACAGAACAGTTTCAGTTTGTGTAATTTTTCCGCTGTTTCTGTTAAAACTACGTTTAGAATTCTGAATGTTTTAAGTAAAGACCAGGTGATATAGAAAGGTTATCCAGCTATAGTAATATACCAAGCAAACAGACCCAGTGTATGGCGTCTCTTTTCAGTTTTAGTGGGTTGAATTTGTGTCCGCTGTAGATTGCTCAATGCGGC